TACTCAACACTTGTCTCTTGCAAATCCTACTATTAATTCAACTATTCATCTAAAACTTGGATTCTATCATTCCTAAAGTTCACGCAATACAATTTTAATCAACACAGGAACTATAATCTGACGTGGTTTATCTAAAAAGGAATTGCGTTCCAAAGAGAAAAGCTTGATTGATATTATTGCAGATGATAATTGTTATAAAAATAGCATACTTTATATAATTAGAATCAACTTTTACGTTTGAATGCTACCGCTCGAAGGAATATATTCTACCATTCAAACAGAGTCAGCCGCACCCAACAGGAGAAAAAATTAGTGACCGAATATGCAAAATTGGAGAAATAACTGTTTAGAAACAAAGAAACCTAATTTTAGGCGATTCAATATTCACAATTTGATGTATGATCAAAGTTCAATATTTGGCAAAAACATTAACTTACCAGCGTATTGAGGGCTTTTGCTATACACTAAAACCTGAAAAGTTGAAGTCTGTCCATTTCACTTTTACTGGTGCTTTTAAGTCAACCATGACAAGTAAAAATGAACAGAGAGAGCATGAAAAACAAGCATAGTTTTAGCTCTAACCGTGGTGTTTAACATCATCAAACATTGTTGTCAAAGTACGGATGATGGTCTATCTAATTTTGTAATGTGTTTGTATTGTTACGATACACATCAGAGATTGCATATGGCCTTCCCACAAAAATTATCAAATTCCTGTCTCCGATAATAAAGGTCAAAAACAAAAGTTATATCCAAATCAAAAAATCCTCAACTAAAAGTTTGAAATACCAACATCAACACGTTTTTACAGTGCAAGTACTATTTTAAAAATATGTTATATCCCAGAAAGGAAAAACATTCAAAGTAGTACAAAATTAGGCATCTCCAATTTTCAACCTGGTGCAGGAGGTGGAGGGGGTGGCTGCATCGACATATGGGGCATAGCATGATGACCGCCATTGAAGTGCTGAGGAGGTGGTGGCGGACGCCAAACATTACCACCCATTGCAGCTGGTGGTGGAGGGGGCCTATTTAGGGGTGGAGCTAACTGTGGGGGCGGCGGAGGTGGCATTCCTCTGAATTGCATTTGCTGCTGCGGAATGCCACCTGCAACTGGTGGTGGCATAGGCTGTCCCTGCCAAGCTTGTGGTGGAGGCATCTGCATTGGTGGGTAGATATTAGGCTGCATAGGTGGTGGCCGAATTGCTGGAACAGGAGCTGGAGGCATAGGACCATTTGCAAATGGACGTGGGGGAACAGGAGCACCAACCGCACCATTGGCTTGAGGAACACCGGGAAGTGTCGGGGGTCCACTTGCAAACATGGTGTGAGGCCTGTTTTTCTGGGTACCTGGATTACTCGAAGCTAAAACCCTCTCTGCATATCATCCACAACAGATCAGAATTGCCCCAAAGTGTATTGGAAAAGTAATGACTACATAATTCAAAAAGATAATAAAAGTAAATGAAATTCAAATCGCAGAGAAAATGCACAATTAGCAACTTGTGCATTTTACTGAATCCCCCCACTCATACCCCTTGTTACACACGTTGAAGTAATCAAAATAATAGCTCACTCTTCCACAAACTTATGGTCCAAATAACTAAAAAATAAATTCAACATTTAAATTCGCAACAAGCAAAACATTCAACAATCTTGACCGAAGACAAGTATCCACATCCTAGCATTCTCAATTCATTTTTCTTAAACACAAATTCATTCTTACCAGCAGGGGTTCCATGACGTTCTCCCTTTGTATCTTTCTTGTAGGCATAGGACACCGTGATTTGGCGATTGCAAAGATATTGACCATTCATAGCCTGCAGAAACACCAAGTTGGTAGTCAAAGTCCAGATGCATCAGCTAGAAAGCATCTGGCATGAACAGAGGATTTGAAACCTCAAAAGCAACAATACATTAAAAATCCAGTGTTCTCCAAACATGTAAACTAGTAATGTCATATGAAGACACAAGATCTGCACTCAAGTTTTCCATATCTTTACCAATAACAGAGTCTTTATAATTTAAGAGGATTTCAGGAAGCTGATTTAGCAGTGTCAAGTAGATTCAATTACAAATTAGGAACTGAAACAATAGACAGTTTAAATCATCATATTGGGCACTTAAACGTGTCTGAGATAAGATATTCAATGCTTGGAAGATGTATACTGCACACTATTTATTTATTTGTAAGTGAGATTTTATCGATATCAGCCTGTCAATGTGATTGTATTATGACTGAACCAGATAAAACAATTGTACAAACCAAACAGGAAAATACTCCATTTTCAACACATTACAACCTCCATAGCATGCAAATAGCTTATCCTCTAAAGTCTGATCAGAAATGTATCCCAATTTATAATCCAGACATTAAAAGAAGACAGGAGTCCACACATAGCACAGGCTCCAAGTCAAACAGTAATAACATTTAGATTTGAACTTTTTTGGACTAGTAAGTCACAATATATCACGTATCTGAATTTATGGTTGAAAAGGAAAGAGGTAAAAGGAGAGTTACCTCAATTGCTGCATCAGAGGCATCAAATGAATCATAACTAATAAAACCAAAACCCCGGGAATTCCCTGTCTCGGGGTCTCGCATAATCTGGAAGAAAAGATACATCAGAATTTAACAAAAACCACCAATAAATGGCAAGTAACTATGTGGTCCTAGTAAAATGTATGCATTGTTCCTTCTTAAAAAAACCAATACATGCATAGTTTGTCATTCAAGCTGGTCTTGCATGTTGAAATGAGTTGCTGTCAATGTAACATGACAGCACTTTCCCCTACACATTTCCAGTATCCATAGAGATCCATTTAATCCTGTTAAAAATCCAACAGGTGCAATGTAGCTTTGCCGACCTTTGCCTGTCGGCAAAGATGGAGTAGTAAATATCTGGTCAGATCTGCCGTATGCGAAGAAGATACAATCAATCGACCAATCAACTACACCTCAGCCCTAAATTAGTTGGAGTTGGCTGAATGAGTTGTCACACAAAAAAAGATAAAGAGTTGTGGTGGTGTAAGAGGAGAAAATGAGCTGCCATCCATGCAGGAGGAGGAAATTTTTTCCTATTTTGCCTAGTGATGTGATTCTAGATGCATCAACAATAAACGCAACCACAATCAAACTAGCAAGATAAGATTGTTGGGAGCTAAAAACATAATTCGAAGCATGGATACCAAATAGGCGAGAATTAATCAACACAGATTGAGCTGTTCTTTTTCTTTAGTAAGTAGGAAGTCCAGACAGCATCTTTAAAAGCAGAAAAATGAAGAATCATGAATCATATGATAGAAGAAGAAAAATAATGTTAACCTTTGGATTTGAGACAACAACTCCAAAAGCACTAAAAGTGTCGTAGAGAAGCTTCTCATCTACATCCTGCATATAAAACAGAAATGTGTTCATAAGTTAATAAAGGTGCTAGCATGAGCAAGGTGATATAATATGCATATGATGTTGTTATCCAATGTCCACAAGCAGGTGCATTTGATTTGAGAAGAACACAAGAGTTCATAAGCTACTATCAAGGATATAAATTGCTTACAGGATCAAGGTTCCCAACAAACAAGTTGGCACCAACATCAACACTCTTTTTATCTTGTGATGCCTGTACCAGGATACATTATTAGATTAAAGAAAATGTGAAATATTCATTATAATAAGGGTAAATGCATCAATGGCATGGCAGTACCTTATTTACACGTATTGGTTTTCCATAAAGTTTTATCATATTCAGTACCTTTATTGCCTGCATTGGTGGTGCATTAGATAGAGAAAGCAAGAAATACCAAAAACCAATCCATGGGGACAAACATAATAGATAACAACTTCAGCAAGTAAAACTACTATGACAAGAAAAACAACCAATACACTTACATAGTCAGCATCTTCTTCACTTCGGAATTCCACAAAACCGTAACCCTGATGAGCATTCGTAACTCTGTCCTTGGGGACATAAACATTTACTGCAACACACATTGATTTATATAGCAAACAAGTGAGATATAAAAGAATCTAAAAATCTCCAAATATTAAACAAAGACTAAGAGTATGCTGATGAAAATTTAAACACAAAGAGTGTTAAAATAACTTTTATCAAGAATCTCCACTGATTTATTCCCGTTTTAAAGAGGCCACCTATTCAGTTAAAATCGACATACCTACTGGACCTGCTTGAACAAACAGCTCCCATAACAACTCTTCAGAAATCTACCAATCAACCAAAGAAAAACATTCAGTAACCTGAATCTAGAAAAAAAATCTCAATTTCCTGAGTTAATTCTATCCTGAAAGCAACAAAGAAATAGGAAAAAAACAATCAGTGAGTAGCTTGTGGCAGAGGACAACAGTATCCAGGAAAAAAAAATCAAACCCCACCAGCTCATTTTTCATGGAGTCAAACTTAAGCGAGTTCTAAAATGAACTGAACCATTTGACTCTGCTCTTTCTACTTTTGTGAGATGTTTACGACCTAGACTTTTGAGAAGTTTTTGCGTAGAGGGAAAACATTTTACAGTTTTACTAGTGATACTGTCTCTGTGTTGCGTTTAAATCAGCTGTTTTCTCCGTAGCCGTTCCTATTACAGACATTATGCAATTGCACCACAAGCGTCAACAAAGAGGAGAAACCCTAGGATTAGAAGGAAAGAGAAATACCTGAGGGTCGAGATTACCGACATAGGCGGTGGCGTCTTGGTTACGCTCCGCCGCGTGTTGGCCGAGAAGGTTTGCTCCGACCCCCGGAGCTATTCGTGTCGTCATACTCCGCTCTCTCTCTCTCTCTCACACACTGCTTCGCTTAGCGACTTGCTTCTATCATAGCTAGGAGAACTAAAGCAGACTAAGAAACAAAGAAAAACGGCGACAAAATGACAAAAATGACCCTTATAGACGGATTTTCCTTTCTTTCTTTGTATTTGTGTAGTTTTATTATATTGCAGTTTCTGAATCACAAAATTGTAGTCTATAGTTGAAAAAGAATTTCATATTTTCGGTTAAATTTAACAATCGAGATGGGTAATTATTTAATGGATTAAAATTGTTCAATTGATACTAAAGCTACTTTGAATCTACTACTAAAAAAATAAGGGACCATTTTGTCATTTTCCCCAACATTCTATGTAATGGAAAAACTACTAAACAACAGATCACAAAAATAAAGATTATTAGTAGAACTGTGTTTAGTTGAGAGTAAATTGTTGGAAATTAGTGGTTTGTGTTCATAAAAAAAAAACAAGATGACAACTTGTAGAATGGTGTTGAGCTTCATATGACCTGCCATGACACAAAACAAGAGCTGCAAAAGCAAAATCCCATAGAATAAATTACATTCTGTTAATGCAGTAATTCCACATCCTTGATTGTGATCTGAATGTCCTATTAGGTAACAAATTAAATTTTAGTATGTTCCTAAGTTATCATGTTAGACGTTATGCACTTATCTCAACCATGTAAATTGATTGAAGCACAGAAACACGCGACTGCCACTGTGAAGCAATGAGAATTTATGGTCTGTATAGCATTTCTAGGGAAGTTCCATTCAGAAAGGAGAAGTCTTGAAGATCAGAAAATGGCTCAATGAACCACATATGTATGCAACGATACATGAAATCTTTCCAGAGAACATACCATTAATGGAGGTTGTATGAGTAAAGGAATAAGTTAACCATTCAACAGAAATAAAATGAAAAACAGAATCTGAAAGTAAGGCTCTAAGGTGCAAATTAAGAATGAAGACTACAGCTACTTACAAGACTTCTTCAGTCGAAAAGTTTGTATAGCAGCTGAAGCAATTCAATTTCTCCTCCTTTTGTAATTCTCCAGCAGGTTATTCCTTCACTTGCAGTACTGAAAATAAAGCTCTACTGCAAAATATTAAAAAGGGGAGACCTCAGGATGATAAACTATCTTGATGTCAAATAGGAAACTCAAATTAAGGAGGTAAATCCAGGATCTCCGTCATGGTACCTGCTATTATAAAACTGCACTAACACAGTGATGCATCGTAAAGCTACTTCTTCATGTTCAGCACCTCAAAACAGCTAGTTACGGTTTTTATAAAAGGAACAACTTTAATATAAATGATGAACAGTCTTTAGTCCCAATATATACCTCTCTATTTAGCTAAGGAAAGTGACAGAAGCTTCAAGGTATAGGAATGCTGGGTGCTTACATCAACATGGAGTGTAAGTTCTTCAACATATAACGTCAAAAAGTATTGACATGACAAATTTGCAGATTTGATGTGAGAAGAATAATAGCTCTCTATTCAATTGAATATCCATTTATAAAATATTGAAGGCAGGGTGATGCATTTGGCAAGGCAGTAACAAACAAAAAACTGAAAGAAGTAATTCTCAGATAATGAAACATCAGATCATTGAGTTAAATGAGATGAATGTCTAATTTTTTTAAAAATATCACGGAGGCTATGACTAATAAATAGAAGAGATATTACACGCGAAAGTACATCCATTTGATATGATGAATCACCTTCTGAAAACTTCTCTGACTTATTCATAGTTATGTTGCAGTTTCTTTTCTTTTTACCTGGCTACTTGCAAATGTTGAATCTCCTGTAAATCAATTATGATTTTGTATAACTGGTCGGGTCCAACGCTTCCTCCATCCGTGTTTCCAAGGTTAGATATGTAGCAGAAGCAATATCACGTACTGCTTCTAACCATCAAAGACATCCTACTATCATGAAAACATACATACAGTTCATTCTATAACAACTGAGACAACTGCTGCCCTCAGGCTTTTTGATTTAGTCACTTCACTCTTTATTTAAGACTAAAAAATTTTCAATGACCGGCTTATCTTAAACCCCCAACTTAATTGCATGTTGAATCCTCGCGGAACTGTTTTTCCACATTGCCATGCAATTTATCCAGTATTCTCCATGTTACAGCATCAGGTTCTAGTCCATTCTTTCTCATTTCACCAAGAATCTGATAAGCTTCTCTCTTCCATCCCAATGTGCAAGCACCATTAATAACAATGTTGTAATTGACGACACAAAGAGTAACCCCACAATCTGCTAATTCATATAAAAAATCACAAGCATCATGCAGTTTACCAGAGCGACAAAGCCCCTTTAGAATGGCTGCATATATGTAACTGTCATGAACTTTTGAAGGCCAAACAACATCATTCCAGAATCTTTTGGCTTCATCAACTTTGTTGGATTCAAACAACCCATCAATAATAACAGTATAAGTCGTGCAATCAGCAACAATGCCACCACTTACCATGCTATGGAAGACTTCCATAGCTTCATCTATCCGATGTAACTTAAATAACCCCTGGATAACTGCATTATATGTTACAACATTGGGCTTTAAACCTTTTTCAGGCATAACTCTATGCAATAACTCAAGAGCTTCTTCAACCCTCCCGAGTTTTAAAAACCCGCTAATAACAGTTGTGAACGTCACACCATTTGGGGCACAAAACTTCCCCATCATCATATCTTTGAAAACCTTTTGAGCCTCTTCAATTCTTCCCATTTTGCAGAAGCCATTAATAACAGTATTCAGGGTGATTACATCTGGTTGACATTGAGTTTGAAGCATGGTCACAAGGACATTTAAAAGCTCTGTTGGGTTATCAACAACACAAAGAGCTCTAAGATATATGTTATAAATCCTTGTTTTGTCATTGTCTTTCTTATATAACATCATATTGACGACTTCATTGGCCTTAACAAGATCATTTACATAGCACAAACCTTCTACCAATAATTTGTAAGTGAATTCTGACGGCAAGTAGCCAAATTGAATTCCTTCCTCCAACAACTGATATGCCCTGAAACAATCGCCTTCCTTGACGAGACCATGAACAATTGTATTATATGAAACTAAGCTTGGATCGAATCCTCGTTTTCTAATCATATAAACTATCCGAGCAGCCCCATTATACCTCCCGAATCTACACAGAGAATCTATCATTTGCGCATATACAAAATCCTGAACCACACTTTTACCCTGAGGCATGTCTTCAGCAATATTAAACACTTCATGAAAGAACCCTTCCTTACACAAGCAATTGATCACGTTGCAGAATGCTGCATTGTTTACATGCATGTCGTCTTCAGTGAGCATCACGTCCCAAAGCTTCCTAATCAGTTGTTTTCCATGGTCGATGTCCCGCTTTCGAAGAATCCCCCTAATCAAAGCACTATAAGTGAGTGCATTAGGTATCACACCGCACTCAGACATTTCATCAAACAGCTTCTCAGCTTCCCCAACCTCCCCAGCCCCACAATACCCATCGATCAAAGTAGTATACGAAACAGCATTAGGAGAATGTCCTCTCTTTCTCATATCAACAAACAGCTGATGGGCATCTCTATTTCTTTCTAAAGTACAAAGCTGATGGATTAGACGGTTGTAATTCATCAACGAAGGTACAAACTGGGGCTTCTGGTAGAACAAAGCGGAAATAACACGCACAGTTTCTTGCGGATTAGCTGCGTAAAGCAAGCGAGCAATGAGAACATTACAGGTTCGCTCATCAGGGACAGTTGACTGGGAAGAAACAGCGAGAAGGAATCGCCGGTGGGCTTCGGAAAATCGTTTAGAATCACAGAGAGCGTGAACAATGCTGCTGAGATTGAGAGAGTCAGGATGATAACCCTGAAGTCGAAGCTCATCGAGAAGTCGAAGAGCTTCGTCTACATCTCCATCAATAGCACAAAGCTTATGAATTCGTCTGGTCCAGTAAGCTCTGTCAAATTCTTCTACTTCAAAGCTTTGTTGATTGGTTAAATGGAACTCAAAGGTAGAGAAGAGGGAAAGAGATGAAGTGAATGTTTTAGCAGAGTTTTGCAGAGGTATTAGAAATGAAAATTTGCAAAAATGCATTGATTGGATTGTTGTGAATTTGAATTGGAGAAAAGAAATGAGCCAACTGCTCAATTGATTGATCAATAAATTTGTTTATGGTGTGATGAAAAAATAAAAAAGGTGAATTTTCAGTAGTTGGTTAAATGTTTTTTAAAAGAAAAAAATAAATAAAAAGATTCCAACAATAAGCCTCAATTGACTGTGGCTACAAATATAAAGTGCTATGTATATTAGCAGCCCAACAGTTACTTCAGATGTAGATGACCCTTGTTGGTCCATAGTTTGGGCCAAGAGGTCGGCCCACGCCCAACAATGTGTCCTGCAATGCTTGTGTATGCCCCATTTGAAATTTACTCCTTTTGTCTACTTTTAATTAGAGGGAGGAACTTTCATATATTGTCACTCAAAAATAGCTAATTACTTTATACAGATATAGTTTGAAAATTACAATTTGTAACTACATATTATAGGGAGAAGAGAGGCAAGCGAGACTGGGAGGGAGAGGAGAGAGGCGAGTGAGAGGGGGCAAAGAGTGAGAGAGAGGTGAATTGTATATATTAATATCGGTTAGATAATTGTATATTATACATATGTATTTGTATATAAGGCAATCGAAATTGGAAAAGCGAGGAGAGAGACAAGCGAGAATGGGAGAGGGACGAGAGAGTCGAGAGAGAGCGGGCAGAGAGTGGGAGAGAGGTAAAATATATGTGTATATCGGTTAGATAATTGTATATTATATATACGTATTTGTAATTTTCTCTTTAATTATCATATTGTGTTTTTTGAAAGTTAATTGACTTATTTTCAAAGTTAAATTAGATTACATTAATTTGATATTTTAAATAAAAAAAATTTAAATATTCAAAAACTATACGAAAAATAATATAAATTGTAATATCACTGTGCTGGGGAAAAAATATCGTAAAATGTTTGTTAGATTTATGATAATTTAATTTTAAAAAAGAAAATTATGACAACAAAAAATAAACGAGGCGACCACACACCAAAGGATAGAAATAAATTATGGAAGAGATTTTATGTCAGCAAGGGAAAAGCTTTAAAAATGATGGATAACAGTTTATTTTCTACTGAGGGCACAGGATTCACCTTTATTCAAAACGCGTATCCATCACCTTTCATGCCAACAATATGGCTGATTTAGATTTTAAACAATGTCCCTATGTAATTATTGAGATTTTGTCCTATTTTTGAAAGTTATATAAATATAGCCCTTTAAACGATTATATTTTCAGACCATTCATGTCTAATATTTGCTTGTGTATCACTTAATTTTTTACATATTATATTGTGATCTAATATTTTCTTACAAAATTTATGATAAATTTTCGATTGCAATCTAAACCTAAAAAGGAAACAACAAAACCATTTCATCGTTGGTGTAACAATTTTGGAAAAACTACACAAGGTCATAGTGAAGAGACAACTATTATTTTATTCGTCTTATATACGAAGTCATATTTAATTGAAAACGTATTATATCTCAAAGTAAAACATTATTAGAGAATTCAAAATCAATTGAGACCTAAATTTAGACGCATTCATATAGAATGATATCTTTAAGATCAAAATTGAACCCGTGCATAATAACACGAGTCCAATGAAATACAATGTTCAAACAAGAAATGGATAGAAAAGCTTTTGAGTAATAAAGTTAGAAAAAGAAAAAAATTGTTAAAAATGAAATAAAACAACGAAAGCAGAGATTTATTTTTTATAATAAAATAACTCAATTTGAAACATTTTTTCTGTCTTTTACCCTCCTTTGTCCAACATGACCACGTTACAAAGATTCCTCTGCAAAATACCACTTACTTTTTTCCACTATTCATCACTAGGAACCGACTTCGAGTTGCGTATAGTCAAATTTAATTATTGTTATTAATAATTTCATACAAACGTAACAGTACGATTGAAAAATGTTGATAAAAAATAATTGTGAGTAAAATTATTCTGCAACTACCAAGACTTAATTTGTGTTATAATAATTGCAGCACCATATCACAACTTATACATAATAACTAAATCTGATTACTGCTGCCAATTCATTAAAAAGGTACACCACTAGTGACAATAACACTAAATGATGATCATTATAATACAAAATACAACTAGTAATTAAAGATAAACGTAGCTAGGAATCTAACCTAGAGATATTAGATGCACGACAAAAATATATATTTGATCTGATCTGATAGACAGTGAAAAAAGAAGAAGACAAGATAGATTAATGGTGAGGACAGAAAGTGAGGACGTAGCTGCTACCAGTGCAAGTGGCAATACTAGTGGGATCGTCGTAAGCATATGAATAAGCTTTAGGGCAAGCAGTCTTGAATATCCTTGAGTATGCTGTTGGCTTGCAAGTTTGTGGGTTACCAAAAGTTCCAGTGCAACAATATCTTGGTGAATTGAAAGCTGAACAAGCACTTTTGCAAGCCACTACTTGACTCTTGTCATGGGAACGAACTTGTAGACCTGCTGGACACATTGTGTTTAAGTCACTCACACACCCAGCGTAGCTGCATTTCCCTGTCAAAACAAAGGGCAAATCCTCAATGCCACAAATTTTAGATCCCTGTAGATCTACAACTACTTATAACGCGAGGAATCGAACTCACAATAATTAGGTGAAAAAATCATTTAATCAACAGAAGGAGCTATAAATATTGTTTGATTTAATACACGAGAAAAGAAAGGGGAAAGGGGTAATAATTAACGTAATGACGAAAGTAACCCTGTTACGAAAGTAGAAGAAAAAAAGGAAGTATCGAAGAACTAATCAAGGACAAATGAGTCATTTAGATATTATCAGGCATGTTTCTCACCTTTGCCTCTGACTGGAGTTACAGAGATGGCGAGATTGTAGCCATCTACGAGACTCACATCGTAGAAATCCTGTTCATTGCCCAGAGTAATCTCAGCGAGAGTAGCCGGAGGGGTACCACCAATTCCATTACAAAAAAGTGAACCACCACAGTCCCCAGTTGCACAGCGTCCACGACCAGCAGCATCAAAAGCGCATCCATGGCGGCCCCAAACTCTACCGGACCACCCAGCCGGCATATTAAGTCTGTATGCCTTGTTCGGCGGAAGCTTAAACCCTCCACGAGCCAGAATCGGTTTACCTGCACTTGGCTGGATCCCTGGCCAAACTGGGTGGCTACATTTGTTGTACAATGTCATTGTTGTAGCTGAAAGTGAACAAAAAAGACTGACATTAGTAAAAAAAAAAAAATTGAATCAGAGAACTAGCTATTTGTGCAGGAAATGAGCGTGTACCTGAAATGTGGGAAGCAAAGATGGTGAAAAAGGCCAAAAGTAGAAAGGGTGTGAGAAATCGATCTGCCATGGCTGAAAATTATGGAGAAAGGTGGAGTTTGCAAATAGAAATGGGGTTTTTATAGAAAAATCAATAAGTAATAAGAAACAGAGGAAAATGGAGAGATACTAAAATGGGAATGTAGTGTTACTTTAGAATTTGGATAGTGGACATAACAAAAGATGGTGAACGGTAATTAAGTGGGCCTTTTGTGAATAAATGTAAGCTGTTAGCTGTAAAAGTTGAAAAACGGAAAAAGATCAAAAGAGTTTGTACCTCTGCCTCTTTAGTCTTTTACTCTTTGCTTGCTTTCTATTTAGTCGTCATTTTAAACTTTACCTATCTTTAAGAATTTGATAAATTTAATATTGTTTCCTATCTAATATTCTTTTGAAGTTAATTTTTTATAAATAAACATAAATTGATTTATAAGAATAAAACAACATAATTATATCTTAAAAATTTATATTTAACTATTATTAATATAGTTATTTGATACACCCGCTAGTAAGATTGGGCAATGGATTGGAACGGGATCATCGGATCAGAATGGAATCACCGGATTGAAATGGAATAAGTTGATCGATTCGTTGATCGATAACGAGATGAACCGGATCAGATTTATTGGGACGGATATTCGGTTCTGTGTCGTTCCACTGTATACCGAGATGAAATTGAAATGGACCAAAATGGAAGGGGATGAGAAATGGGATATATCAAGTTATTTCATAAAATGATTTTCTTGATATTATGAAAATATGAATATTTTTTTTCTATGTTTAAATTAATAGTTTTTAAATTTATAATGTGATTTTTTAATTAGTTTATCTTAAAGATATATTTTATAAAAAAAATTTACTTATTAAGTTTGCAAGTTAAGTCTACTTAAATTTTCAAGATTTAACTCTTTTGGAGTTGATAAGTTATTCCTTATTATTTATTTATATGTTATAATTTATAAGTTATATATAACTTGCATTTTAAATAAATTAAATTGTAATTTTAAAAAATTAAATAAAAACTAGGATAAAACAATTATGCAAATTAAAAAGTATCAATTTAATTTATTGGAATTTGTATTAAAAATACAGTTTCAATTTACAACTATTAGTAGAGTGCATAGTTTACGCAGCCATTGTCTAGGAATGGTTCTGTTTCAACTAAGTCTCGAATGTAATACTAATGTAATATTAATAGGGGGTAGTAGTATTTATTATTTAATATAAAATATAAATTATAATTTATAAATATATAATATATAAATTAATAAATATTAATTAAACGCCTCGGAACCAAAATAGGCTGATATCATACACCGATATCAAATCGCGATTTCGTTTCATTTCATGTCCCGGTTTAGAATGTCCCGTTCTGTCCCGGCAACTAAACCGGAACGATACCTGACTAGTACCGATATATCCCGTTCCGTTGTCCAGTCGCACGTAGGTATAAATAAAAAAGAATGATCACTGAAATCTATTTTATATATATATATATATATTCGGGCTTAAGACAACATACGAATTTATATTATTTTGGGTTTAAGATTTTTATATTTGAGATCTTAAATTCAAATTTTTTTTTGCCAACAAAAGTAGAAAATTTATCTTCTGAGTTGAGTTTGTCGTAGCAGGCTTGATTAATACGAGTTATTTCTCCAATGTAATTTGCAAGTTATTACATAGAATCATGTATTTATCAAGTGCGTGCTCAAGGGTTAATAGTTGCGAGTTTCCCTTGTCATAAAATTTTTGTAACTTTAGGAGATTGTAATGTGGATGAATCAAACCTTCACAAACAGTCAATCAAATGAGCTACATTTTCACTACTATTTTGTTTTATACTCTATAT